GATCATCCACACATTAATTTTCACTTAACATTGTACCATAATGTGGACTCTAAGCATTTTCTCATCACCTAAATTTCAGCAACTAAGTTCTTAAAAAAGTGTTTGCCAACAACAAACTATAATTGTGTTTAGATAATTGAGAAATGTATAAAAAAGAAAAGAAAATTACCCATAATTTGGCTACCCAGCAATAATTTTTTTGCATTCTGATTGTAGGGGCAGGAAGGCCACAGAGTGATTCTGTGATTCCACAGATGGATAAAGGAGGAATCCTGGAGTCCTGGGTGGCTTTCTCAGGCTTTTATGGAGCTCTTACATGTAGTGCAGCAACCAGGTACATGGCAGGCAGGGGGAGAGGGGCAGGAGGCCCTGAGGCCTCCGAGCCTCCCCCTCACCCCCCACCCCCATCAGGCAGGGCAATCCTAATGGTAGGAGAGCAGAAAAGCCTGAAAACCATTTACCCTACACTGATATAATTTATTCTATTACCTTTTGCATGTATTATACACTTTTTTTATAAATTAGGATAACTCTCAGTTTAGTTTTGTAACCTAGTCTTTTAAAAGGTTCAATGTTGGGCCTCCCTGGTGGCCTAGGGATTAAGTCTCAGCACTATCACTGCTATGGCCTGAGTTTAATCCCCAGCCAGGGAGCTAACCCACATGAAGAACAGAAGACCTCTCCTGTCTTGTCCACTGTTCCCCTTAGCACTGTATTTCAGTAGATCTGCCTGTTCTGCTCCTCACTCTGTCTCTGATGAATCTTCTCACCCCCTTGTACCTCTGGCCTACACCCCAGTGCTTCTATGCAAAAAAAGAAAAAAAAGGTGCTGTGTTTTCAACATTTCCCCATGTTATTAAATATCCCTCAGATACAATTTTAAAGTGTGGATTTAACCCATGTAAAATGTCACCCAACTATTCACATTCCCATTGAAAATTTTTCTTTCCTGTGTTATGATAACCTTGCATTAACATTTTGTGTGTGTGGATAAATTTTGACTGCATTTCACTTCTTTTTTAAAATTGCATTCCAATTGAAAATTATTTCTCAATTATCTTTCTAGAGCTATTTTTAAAGCTCATGATAAATGTTGCAAAGTTCCTTTCCCCTTCTATCCATCTTTCCAAAATATATACCTCTTCAAGTAATATATACCTCTTCTTGTTCTCTCTATTAAAAAAGTCTGTCTCCTCCCTATTAAGGGGCCTATTTGGTGTCTTATACGCACAGATACTCATTTATACACCAGCAGTTCTCACATTAGGCCCCCAAGCCTTTGCTCAGGCAATCCCTTCCACCTAAAAGGCCCTTAATTCCTTTCTCTCCTAAGTGAAAATCCTATTCTCCTTTTAGGGGCCAATTCAGAAAAGCCCACTTCTCTGGGAAGAGTTGATCTGCCCTCTGCTGGGCTCCCAAAACCACAATACAGACTTCCAGAATGATAATTTTTATATTGAAATAATTTGACATTACATTGAAGTATTTACATTTATGTTAGAAAAAAAGATTAAAATTTCTACAAATCACTAAGAAAAAATTCAACAGAAAGACCAACTAAAAAAGAGACAAATGAGGGGCCTCCCTGGTGGCACAAGGGGTTAAGCACCGCACTATGAAGCAAACCGCAGCCTCTGCAGCATGAGTTCGATCCCCAGCTGGCCAGGGAGAAACCCACATGGCAAGGCAGATCTCTCCTGTCTCGCCCACTGCTACCCTCAGCAGTGTATTTCAGTCAGTCTGCCTGTTCTGTTCCCCACTCTGTCTCTGGTGAATCCTCTTGTTATAGGACAGGGAGAGGGGCAGCCCAAACCCCGCAAACCTGCCTATTCTACATGGGTTCTGCCATCCGCCGCATCAACACAAAACATAGGAGACTTTAATGGGAAGGAACTTTAATTAAACTAGGAAACAATACAGGTAAGGCAAAGAGTCTAGTTTCTAAATGAAGCACCCAAAGTTACCCATCCCCTCGTGGGTAAAAGTCCATCCATATGGGATCGGCCCAGAACAAGGCCCCAAAGTCTACCACAAGTCTAAAACATCTTCCAGTGGGGACCCACAGAAAAGGGTCACAAACAACCAGACAAGCCCGGAAGGAAAAGAGCAAAATCAACATCAAGATAAAAGCTGCCGGGCCTCCCCGGTGGCGCAGCGGTTGAGCGCTGGGTTGCGAAGCTGCCCGCAGCCTCTGCAGCGCCAGTTCGATCCCCGGCTGCTCCCCGGCCACCGGAGGAGGGTCCCACATGGCGCGCAGACCTCTCCTGCCGCCCGCTGCTCCCCTCAGCAGTGTGCTTCGGTCCTTCTGCCTGCTCTGCTCCCCGCTCTGGCTCTGGTGAATTCTCTCACCCTCCCGCGCTTCTGACTGTACCCAGTGCATGTATAAACAAAACAAAGAAAGAAAGAAAGAAAGAAAACATGCCTCTCTATATAAAAAAAAAAAAAGAAAAAAAAAAAGATAAAAGCTGCCATTGTCACCTCCCCACGGGTCTCACCCACATCTGTGTCACCCAGTCCACGACCAAAAGACAAGCGCAGTTTCTTTACGTGTCTCTAGGCTCCATGCGCCTCCTCCAGGTCTCCTGGCTCCATCCTGCTTCCTTCCTTCCTCAGTCTCTTCTTGCAGCTTCTTCTCTTGCTGCTCAGCTCAACCCTCCCTTGGGTGGGGCAGGGAACCTCCCCCTTTCCTGGGGACCACCCTGTTGCACTCTCACCCCCCACCCCTCTGGCCTGTACCCCAGCTCTTGTATGCATAAATAAATAAATCTTTAGGAGAGAGAAATTATATGAACAGAAAACTCACCAGAACCAAAAAAAAAAAAAAAAAACAAACCACCCAAAAGAGATTTTGAAATATTTTTTAAATTGCTCAACTTCACTCATATTAAAAATAATGAAGAATGAAAGCAACTCTTGCCTTTACCCATCTGATTAACAAGGATCAAGTTTGATAACACCCTGTTTAGTACAAAATGTGAGGAAATGGGCACAATCAGAGCTTATTGATGGGAGGACAAATTGGTACAACTGCTCTACCAGTATCTTTACCAATATCCATGAAAATGAAACAAAACAAATTCATATACTTATTTATGGGTTATTCTTCTTCCAGGAATTTATCTTGGAGATAAGCTCCCACATATGCAAAATAATGAATGGACAAGTTATAGCATTATTTATAGTAGAAAAGAACTGGAAACTACCTAAGTGTTCCCAAATGCGGGATGAGGCAATTAAATTATGGCATGTCCTTGTAAAGTTGGGCAGTAATTTAAAAAATTGAAGCTGTTTCAAAATTTAGAGCTCAGTGAAAAAAACAAGATGTAGCAGTATATATGGCATGCTACTGCTTGTGTAAAACATTTACACACATAAACCTGCTTGTGAAAATAGTGACCATCTTTGAAAAGATACACAGGAAAGGGGTTCAGAGTGATGACCCTGCAAGGGAAGCAGGGGATTGGAAAGCAAGGGTGGGAGGATTTTTTTTTTTTTCATTCTATGTCTTCAGTATATGTTTAATATTTGATTTTCCTTATACCTATTTTTAATAAATCAACATAAAATTAAACATCTTTCAATGTTTGAGATCAAGTCCAACTCACTTATATGGTCAACTTTCCAATCTCCTCTCACACCTTAATTGTCCTCTGTCATTACCTTCCAATCACATTGCTTCTATTTCAGCCTATGGAACATGAAAGACCTTCCTGCCTTGGGACATTTTGCACAAGCTGTTCCCTGCCTAGGCTGATGTTCTCTAGGCTTTTCCAGTGGGCTGGCATTTTCCTATTCTTCAAGTCTTGGGTTCTATGTCATCTCTTCAAAGTGGCCATCCCTGCTCACCCCAAATTAACAATCATTGAATAAATGCCTCTCTCCCTGCCCAGGCAGGCAGAGGGGAGGGGATTATACTCCTGACCACCCACTCTAAAGCAGTACTTCTCCCTCTACCCTCTTTATGACAATTTACTTTCTTCGTAGCACTAGGGACGATTTGAAGTTACCTTGTTTGGTTATTTCCTTGGTTGTTTACACTTCAAGGTATAAGTCACTATGAAAGCAAGAACCATGTCTTATCTTGTTCCTAACTCTCCAGAAAACCAAACAATAAACATTTGTTGAATGAATTTATGCAGCATATACTAGGGACCATACACTATCCTGGGGATTTTATAAATAACAGCTCTTTTAATCCACACAATAACTCAATGAGGGAGGTTGGGTTGTATCCATTTTATCCTTAAGGACATTGAGGTGCAGAGGCATTGAATAACTTGCCCAACTAAGTGATTTGGAAACCCCAGACCTAAGGTTCTTAGCTACAACGCGACGCTTTTCCAATCTATAAACTGATGGAATGGATAAAACTGACTAAATGATTGAATGAATAGAAATGTGAATTTTTTTTTTGCTTCGCCGATGCCCCACTCTATCGCAAGGGGGCGCTCTCTCCAAGGTCTTGACGCTAGTCCTTAAGGCGCGCGCTCCCTTTGCGTCTCGGGCTCGCGCGCGCTGCCGCGGCACCGGAAGTGACTGAGCTTGCAAGTTCCCCCGGTCTCTTCAGGGGAAACTGAGGCCGGCTCGTTCGGAAGAGACAGAGCGAGCCATCAGCCAGGTAGGCCGGCCCGGGCCCGCGGTGCGGAACTCAGCCGCGAAGAGCCCTCGTGTTTGGAAACGACCTGGCCGATGAAGGGGGGATGTGGCCCCCCACGGCTCGCGGGGCTCGCAGGTGAGAGTGCCGCCTCACGAGAGTGCGTGGCAGGCGTTGCGCCCAATGGGAGCCGTCGCCGTCCCGCTTCCGTGCCGACTGGGCTCGCTGATTGGCTACGTCGGGGCGGGCCGCCGGGGGCGAGACCCCTCCTCCAAGAAAGGTCTAGGGGGCGCCCCTGAGGGAGACCGGTTACCTAGCAACGGGGCGGTGGCCTGCCGGGTACCCGGCCTAGCGGGCGGGAGAAGCCGTGAGGCCGCAGCCCACCCACCCCGGGCTCTGGAGGGGTGCTCCCCCCGGCCCCCAAGCCCTCCCGGGGGCGCCAGGAAGCCGTCTGGGTTCTATCCCCAGGAAAACGTGGCCTCTCAACTATGGGGGGGGCCTGGAGGAGGCCTCGACCTCTCTCCCTGACCCGAGGAGAGGCCCAGCGCCTCACCCTCACCCCGTCTTTGTGCAGGGCGCCGGCGGCCATTGTGTCTGTGTGGAGAATGGAGGAGCCGGCAATCCGCCACCGCCACGTCCAGGGCTTTGGGGGAATTCAAAGAAAACCAAAGGCGTTTCTGGGGTGTCCCCGGCCGTCAGCTTGCCGGAAAGGCCGAGGGATGGCCTTTCCGAAGTCAGACCGCAGATCCGAAGCAGTTTCCCCCTCCCTTCGCCCCCCATCGAAACCTTGAGCCCCATGGAGAAGTCCCTTCAGGGTTTCGGAGGCTCACCCTGGGCTGGTACTTGAAATAGAAAAGAAAAAAAAAATTTCACACACACACACACACACACCACACACACACAACTAAACCCCACACCAGCCACCTCCGGGAGAGTTCTCCTGGCTCCCAGTAGGAGGCGGAGAGCCAAGGGGCGTGCAAGAACGAGGGGGCTGGGCTCCCGGGTAGCAGGAGGCCGTAGCTGCCGAGCGGCCGCCCTCGATCCGGGCGATGGAAGAGGAAACCAAGCGAGGGGGCCGGTTCCTGAGCTTCGTAATTCCTGTGTCGCCTTCTGGGCTCCCAGCCTGCCGGGTCGCATGATCCCTCAAGCCGGAGCTGTTTTTTTTGCGAGCCGCCGCGAGGCCGGCTGAGTTACCGGCATCCCGGCTGCCAGCTCCTCTCCCGACCTATGATACAAAAGATCTTCCGGGGGCTGCACCTGCCTGCCGTCGCCTGAGACGGATTTGAATGTAGGTGGTGCGGGGAGGGGATGGGGGGCAGACTACCCATGGGGTGGCTTTCCGAGGAAAGCATTTCGGAGAAAAGGGGGTGGGAGAAAAAAAAAAAAAAAAGGCCGGTGTGATGATTCAGAGCCGGGTGGTGCTTTCAATTTGACTTCATTGAAGTCTCTTGGAAGCTAGACCCAGGTCTTCATTGGAGCCACAAAGAAATCAGTTCTGGTACCTGAAGGGGCTATGCGATGTTGTAGGGTAAATGACATGCACATTAAATTTTCATTTTTCTGAAGCTCTTTCTCTCCCTTCAGAACCTTATCTTGGCTTTGGATCACAGAAGAGGACCACTAAGCAGAGACCAGACTCAGTGAGTGAGCAGGTGTTTTGGACAATGGACTGGTCGAGCCTATCCCTATTATAAAAATGTCTCAGAGCAACCGGGACCTGGTGGTTGACTTTCTCTCCTACAAGCTTTCCCAGAAAGGATACAGCTGGAGTCAGTTTAGTGATGTGGAAGAGAACAGAACTGAGGCCCCAGAAGGGACTGAATCAGAGATGGAAACCCCCAGTGCCATCAATGGCAACCCATCCTGGCACCTGGTGGACAGCCCCGCATTGAATGGAGCCACTGGCCACAGCAGCAGCTTGGATGCCAGGGAGGTGATCCCCTTGGCAGCAGTGAAGCAAGCACTGAGGGAGGCCGGCGATGAGTTTGAACTAAGGTACCGGCGGGCATTCAATGACCTGACATCCCAGCTCCACATCACCCCAGGGACAGCATATCAGAGTTTTGAGCAGGTAGTGAATGAACTCTTCCGGGATGGGGTGAACTGGGGTCGCATTGTGGCCTTTTTCTCCTTCGGTGGGGCACTATGCGTGGAAAGCGTAGACAAGGAGATGCAGGTATTGGTGAGTCGGATCGCATCTTGGATGGCTACTTACCTGAATGACCACCTAGAGCCTTGGATCCAGGAGAACGGCGGCTGGGTAAGGACCATGCCCCTGCTTGTCCCCTTCCTTCACCTCTGGTCAAAGACATCCCCAATAACCCCTGTATCTCTTCCTGATTATTGGGGATGTTGATTGCTAAGGACACTGGCCTCATTGCACTGTGAGAGGTTAACTTCTGAAACACAAATGACCTAGTTCTTGAAGGATCAGGCATCTTTGATTCTGGTCACCCTCATGACCCTACTCTTTTATACTTGTGTTCCAGTTTCTCAACAGAGGAAAACAGTGTAAGTGTTCCTTTGGCCTCAAACTTGTGAAACTGGGAAGTTACATCAGTTTTTCCCTCACCTTGACACAGTGGCCCACCATACAAAGGGGTGATGAGTATAATGCCTGGAGAAGATCATGAGCATCAATGACCCACAAACCCCTTCATTCTTACTCCCCCCGGGGGGTGTCAATCCTATGCTAGGCTTTCCTTCACCAAATCAAGTCCCCTTTCTTTCATACATGGTATTCTTATCAGAACAGGACAAGGCCACACAGGACTTCCCATTGGCTTGATGGCTAAGGATTAATGTTAGGGTGGTGCCAGCTGTGTTTGTGTTGTGCCCCTATGTTCATTTGCTCTAAAGTGTGCAACTTTCTGTGTGGTTGGCCTGTTTGTGGAGCTCTTGCTGTGTCACACATTAAGCCCTGAGACTTTGCACCTCACTGCCTAGGGTCGGTTGGAGAGCTCCAGCTGTTCTGCCTGTTGCTTTCCGGCCAGGGCCCTGGGGCCTCTTCCTCAGCCCTGTTTGCTGGCAAAGCAAGAACCGGTCTGTGGGGCTCTGTGGGACATTGCGATCCAGTGACAGACTTCAGAAACAAACTGATAATGGGTGTGAGTCCCAGCCCTGTCATTTAACCAGGTGTGTGACCTTGTGACCAAAGCCTGTTTACCTTGAGCCTCAGTTTCTCACACTGAAAAAATGCAGCCAGCCCTCTTTGCCTTGCAGAGTATTGTAAATCCTGGAGATAAATGTGATGTGAACGCAGTGACTGACATCAGCAAGTTTGCTGTAGTAGTTGTTACTGGGCCCTGACATACTTTGGGCCCAGGAGTTAAGCCTTATTCCTTTCCCAGAGAGGGAGAATTCTCCTCTCCATCACCAAGTCAGGATGAGATAGTGAGACATTCTTAACCAGTGGTCATTGTAGGCAATTTTTTTCTCTTTCATGGTGAATGGGTTCCTATTTATTGGCTTATCTCTTTGCCAAGGGGAGTTGCAGGGCTTATGAGAGGTATTTCCTTGCTTATCTCCCTGCCTAGGGAGGTGGAAGGCTTTTGAGAGGTATTCTGTCTTCCTGAACACCCAGAAAATTGAGCAGACTGTGGAAAATAAGTCATCTATTGAAGGGGTTGAGGTGAAGGGACCATGCACCATGCACTTAGGAATGTCAAGAATGCAATTATCCATAGGCTGGGCCTAGGGTGTGGTAGGCACTTCAGTTTACCACTGAGCAAGAGATCTCTGAGTTGCCTTAGAACCTCCCTCCTGTCTGATTTCCTATTTCTTTGCAATTTCATCAACTCTTCCCTGCTGCCAGTTCTTATCAAAAGCAAAGGGGTCGAGTCAATAGAGGTCAGATGACTGGGGGTGGAGTTGGGGGGAGGTAAAAGTGGAGGGCTTTCTTGAGCTGAAGCTGACCAGACTTGAAAGCCATTCTGTAAATGAACTCCCTGGGGGGATAAATGATTAAATAGTTCCTGTTGGTTTGTGCGATGACCTCTCTTATTCTCTCCTGCTTTGATTCTCTTTGGGGGCAAATATTTGTTCAGCTGATTATAGGAGGGACAGGATTCCAGTGTCTCTGACACACCCTCTGAGGCATCTCCAAGTGGGGACTTGAGCCATTTGCTCACTTTGCCTTTACTATTGTCTTTGGCCAGAGGTCCTAATATCAGGTGGGTTGTGACCAGCTATTTGCAAAAGGCAAGCTGCAAGAGGTGCCTGGCTGCCAGCCAGCCTCTGCAAAGGGCTACCCATCCCAGAGAATCGCCAGTCACCCAGTGTATGTTGTATGTGGGAAGAGGTTTTAGATGCAGCAGTGCTGGGCAAGTTCATTAGATCGCCACTGGATTGAAATTCCATCCTCTGTCTCTTTGCTCAAGAATTATCAGAGCCCGTTGGACAACATACCATATGTTACTTCCTTTTGGTGAACAGAGGGGATGTGTGTAGAAAAGCCAGTTATGTCAGAATCATTTCTGGGCACACATTTCTTCCTGAACCCAGGAGGTAAAGAACATTTGACCCGGGATCCTTTGGGTAGAAGTTACCTGCCCACTTCCTTCTCAGGTATCATCCTGTTTGAGCTGCACAAACTGGCAATTGTAGTGGCATCTCACCACCTTCCTGGAGGCTGTGCTGGGGGATGTGTGAGTGTAGGCGTTAAGGCCACTTTCCCCTAGGGTATGCTCTCAAATTAGCATATCTCTAGGAAATGGAAGTTAGCCTTTATGGCTTCTGTACTCAGTATTAGGCATTGTGTGGGATCTTTATACTTATCTAACCAAAATTTATTGAGTATCTACTGCATTGTACTAGGTGCTGGCCAGACATGGTACCTGTCCTCATAAAAATGACATGCTGTTCACCCAATATCTTCCACAATAGGTGGGTTTATTCCCAGTTTACATGTGAAGCTTCTAAGCAGCTGGCCCCAGGTGTCCCTCATCCAGTTAAGTGAGACCAAGTGAGAACTTATACTTAACTCGGCCTCACTCCAAAACCTAAGCTCCTTCCATCCATATCAGGTCATCCTAGAGTAATAAAGTGACCCAGACATTGGGCACAGAAAGCCAGAGAGGCTGTTGGGCCAAGCAAAACATGCCTGTGGAGGTGCTCTCCCTGGGCTCTGATCCTGACATTGTTCAGGTAGCTGCAGGAAGAACAGTGCCTTTGTCATCAGTAATAGGTTCCAAAGACAGTGTAGCCTTAGATTTACAACACTCATGGTAAAACTCATGGGTATCAGGGTTTTGCCCAGTCAGAGTGGCCTTCTTTTTAATTGTTTCATTGCTCAAACCTCCTCAGGTCCTACCAATAGTAAGAATGGTGTGCATGTGGAGGGAGGGTGGCCCGCTCTAGGTATGTCTGTTTCAGTCTGGGTAATGATGCTCAAGGACTGGAATCCCAGACTCAGCCATACCACCACCTGCCTGGAGTCACCTGGCAAGATGCTTGAACCTGTTTGTCTCTCCTGTCCATCTGTCTCTCCCACCTGTAAAGTGGAATAATGATAGCCAGCTGCCATTGCTGGACTCCAGTAAAGAATCTAGAACAAAGGCCCTTCTTGTACCTTAATTGTAGGGTGGAAGCACTCTTTTAATAAATAAGCTACCTGCCTCAAAAAACTGAACCTTGCCCCCAGAGTTTCTCAAGAAACAAAGCCAGTTCCTAAAAGGTCCACCTAGAATGGTGTATGATGGGACCTTCCCCGAAGGGACAGTATTGCCGGGGCTTTGCAATGGGAAGGTAGATATTTGCAGGGTGAAGACCCAGGTGGGCTAGGCATTTGGGAATAGCTGTCCTTGGGCAAAACATTGTATGTGAGGAGAGAACATAATTTGGCCTTTTCTAGGTTGCATGACTGTGTGGTCTTCTAGTTTTGTAGGTTTCTTCTTGTCTTTTCTGATGACTTCGCCAAAGATGTATGCTTACCTCAATGACCTTTGCCGATCTTAGCAGCTGTTGGCAGCTCTGCGGTTTTCTCGGGGAAACCCCATTAGAAACCCAAACGTGGAAATTTTTAGTAATCTCATTCAGGTCACAAATGAGGTAGAAGTATGTCAGGGGCTCCCCCTCAAAACACCCAGGTCTTCTGGATGTACTTTTGGGGTTGCTGTTAAAACTCTTATCACCATTGCAGGGTTTTCCAGACTTCCTAGGGCTAATTTCCCCCAGCAGCCCCAAAGAGCCCTTCTCGTTCAAAATTACCCAGGTATTTTTTCAGGGGGACCCAGCAGAACCCAGAGGGATTTCTTAAGTTTTGTGTGGGCAGTTACCAGATTTGTTTGGACTGCTGGCTGCAGAAAGCAGCAGTTGTTAGCTGCTCTCTCAGCAGGCTTCTGTCCTGAGGCCAGTGGACTTGAGCATCCCCCTCTAGGCCTGACCTTCTTATAAAAGCACCCTCAGCCTTCCAACATGGGGCTTGCTTTCAGCAGCCGTGATTTTGTCTGTGTTTAGAATGGATGGATTTAAGACTAATTCCCAGTGAGCTGCCCTTCTACAGAAACACAATCTCCTACCTTAATTAGCAGGATCCCATCCCTACCCCCAATCTAATTCTACAGAGTCCTCCCTAAGGATTCCCTCTCTTGGAAGGAGTCACTCTGCTCCCAGATTCTCTTTTCTTCAGTCCCTCCAGCCAACAGTCTGTCTTCCCCATTCCCATTTGGCAAACCTGAGTCAGACAGTCCCACTGGATCCTTTTGTTTAGCCTGGGGAAGAGAAGACCCAGGAGAATATGATCACTGGTTTCAAATATCCAAAGGGAGAGGGGCTAAGCTTTTTTTATTGGTATAGTACCCAACAGATCTTGGATAAATGAGAAGATAACAGTGGTAGAATTTAAAAGTGTAAAGAAGAACATTAGTTACACTACTATGTATTTGCAAGTTGTCGGAGCTTCCTGGGCCTGGATTCTACATTTTGCCCATACTTATTTCCTCAGCACTAAGCAGAAGTCTTGGGCAGAGTGAGTACCTAGTGAGACAAATGCCCACTAACTTTCTGAAGAAACAGACACTTCTTAAACCAGAATAGTGGGACTCACCCTTTAACCTGATCATTCATTCATTGATTCAGGCAATGTTTACTGGGCTTGTACCAGCTATGCCAGGCTGTCCTAAGAACGAGGGATATAGAAGTAAACAAAACTAAGTTTCTGTTCTGATGGAGCTTGCATTCTAGTGCGGAGAGTACAATAAACATGTAACTAATAACTATATATACATACACATAACATATGAGTAGTGCTGTGAAGAAAAT